GGGGGGGGGGGGGGACAGCCCCGGGTGGTCGGGAGCTGCTGGGTCGAAAGGAAAGGGGGCAGGGGAGGAAAGATCAGAGACAGCTGAGGCCTCCCGGGGAGTAGTACTTAATCGCCTACCCTCAGAGATAGAGAGGGGAGGCAGCGAACTAGCAAAGAGTAAAGGAAGTGGGTGGATTCCCGACTTTACGACTCGCTCGGTGCCTCGCGGTTGGATTACCGCAACAGTACAATACTGTAAGCGCATGCTGAGCAGGGCGTGCTCTTACGGCTTACAGACTGGCAACCCATTACAGTATGTTTTTCTCTGCTCGTTAGGCAGCGATCGACTCTCTCCGCGCCGCCGGTGACCATGCCTAGTTCGGTTCCCATCCATCAAGTTCTGCGAAACAACCGAACCCTCGGCAGTGACGACCTCTCTAGACATAGAAAGAGGAGAGAAAGAACTTTGCGTTCGCTGGGAAGCCCATAGAAAGCAGTTTGGGCACGGTTTTGAAGCGGAAAGTTGGCTCGCTGCTAAGAAGTATACTGTTGCTCAACATGGATTCGGCAACAGAGGTGTTGGATCAACCTCAAATTGAGAGGGTGCAGTTGGAAGGACTGGTAAGAAACTTGCACTTCATCCATGCGATAAGGGCCAATCATCAACGCAGCGGTAGTTTTCTAACCTGTGCTTTGCTCTAACAATCGCATGGAGTTCTTAATCATTATAGGTTGTCATGAAAGTCATCAAACATTGCCAGGAGAATTTTCCCATGACTGTCATGGGCCAGCTTCTTGGTATGGATCGAAATGAAACACTTGAAATTACCAATTGCTATCCCTTCATATCTCCACCTACCGGAGCTGCAACAGCAGGCCCGGACGGTGTGGATACAGTTGCTTTCGAAAGAGAGCAGCACCGGTACCAACGCGAAATGATGTGGTGCGTACGAGAGGCCCGAATCGACCACCAAGTCGTCGGCTGGTATCAGAGCAGCGGGTCGCAAATGGGTTCCTTCCTCTCCTCGCAATGGATTGAAACGCAGTTCAATTATCAGATCAACCTGAGTAATATTGTCTGTCTTGTGTACGACCCTGTGCGCACAGAGGAGGGAACACTTTCAATTCACGCTTACCGCCTCACCAAGAAATTCATGGATGTCATGCGAAAGCAAGACTTTTCATCTTTGGGATTCTCAAACCTGTCCGTTTCGGCGAGCACTATCATAGAAGAGGTCCCGGTGACTTTGCACAACTCAAGCCTTATCAACGCAGCCCTCGTCGAACTGGACTATGCGGACGAGTTCAGCGGTGCGAATGACGTGGAGCTTTCACGACTTTCTATCAGTGACAAGCCGGTCCTGGAGCAAAGCATGGACTTTTTGATATCTGATTTGGATGCCCTCGGAAGGGAGCAGAGCAAGTACTCGTACTACATGCGAAATTTAGTTCGCGGTCAAGGTCAGCTACTTGAAAGAATGCGCAAACGGAGGGCCGAGAATGCAAATCGAACTGCGAAAGGAGAAGAACCACTCCAAGAGGATGATGACGTACAGCAAATGTTTGAAAAGGAACCCTCGCGTCTTGATACGAAGATATTACTGAAAGAATTGGATTCATACGTGGAGAGTATTAAGTCGCTTGCATCAGAAGGAATCGTGAAGCAATACGGTGTGTCAGGTGTGCAAGCTGGCGAAGAATAAAGGCAATGCCCTGTTTACATCGATGACATACTGCGATTCGCACGAAAATTGCTAGCCTACGAGCTCATTCGTTTAAGTCTGTTTTAGGCTTGCGAGCATTCCTGATTCTGTCTGCCATGGTCTTGTGTTGATTGCTCCTCAACGATTTCAACGTGTAGTCAACAAACGCGTCGCGAAACATCTCAATATGCACGACATCCTCTCCTTCCCTATCTCGAGCTAAACTCGAGCCATCATCATATTCGTCAATGCCGTCCGAAAGGTTGGCGATAACATTGTCATCACCTTCAGTGCTTCTTTGCCTCGTTTTGGTATTTGTTCTAGATCCAAAGGGATGTATACTCAGATGAATACTTCTTGTACGCTGTTCTACGTCGAAAGACTCATCGCTCTCACATTTAACGCCCCAAGGTGACTCGATGTCAGAGGTGCGAGGCTTCTGCTTCTTTGTGCGACTAGGATCGCGCATCTGAGATGATACGACCTGGTCACATTCTCTGTTGCTTACGACACGACAAGCATCTGCTCTGACGGTTAGAGATTTAAGAGATGCGAACAAGTCTCCTCTTCTTCGATTAGAGCCGTCTTCTTTCTTAGAAGTCTCCGAAGGCCTGACCTCTATTTGAATCTCGTCATTAGGGCTGCTGTTAGCATTAAGCTGAGCTCTAAACATCTCTCCAGTCATCCGCGCCCACATTCCTGATACTGAAGGAGTGATAGGAGCATCATCTCTGTCGTCTTTTGATTCAGCTTTATATTGCCTGCGGCCTCCGAGTATTTGGCTATCGTTGGGATTCATATCACAAACACTATCGTCATTCGCTGATGAGCGAGTGACTTTTGCCGCCTTCAGTAATTGCTCTTGCTCCAACCCTTCTCCTGAATCTCCTTTCCTTGTTTGGAAAGTTAAACCTAGTAGCTGTCCTGTAGTCTTGTTTCTCGTCTGCTGAGTCGCTTTTTGTTTTTCAGGCTTCTCCTGTCGGAAAAGCGAGGCACCCTTCGTTTGTCCCTCAGGGCCGGCATTATTTCTTTTTCGAAATCGAGGAATTCCTTGCAAGAACTTCAGATTGTCAGTACGAGATCGCAATCCGCCTTGATCTTTGTGTTCCAAATTCGGCTTGGGCAGGTTTTGGTCATCTGGAACGTTCGCCTGCTGAGCGGCTCTTTTTTGTGTGTCTTTAAAGCCCCGCCCGTGATGGAACGATTTGACACCTGAAGACTTCCAACTCGACGTGGGCTTTGGCCGATCGTCCCGATCATCTGAGTGTCGTCCTTCTCGCACTGGTTGCTGCAACATGCGCTTGGGTGATGTCATATAGCTCCGAAATCGATTGAGATGGCTCTGTTTTTTTCTTCGCGAGCCTTGTGAAGTAAACACGTTTTCTGTTGTTGGGTTGATTGTTTTGCCTTGGGCAGTCACACTTGTTGGGCTTGCTTCTTCTCCAGTTCTCGAAACGCCTACATCCTTCTTTGGCTGTTCTTTTCCGTGGGATGCCTCAGAATGCTCTCTCGAAGCAAGCTCATTTATTGAGGGAGGCGGGAAAGGATCGTGAGAAGGTCCCTGCTCGCCGAGCATCTGCCGAAACTTTCTGCTATAAGGAGAAAAGTTCTTCATGCCCTCCAACCGTGAGTAGGGACAAGCTGTTCAAGTTGTTGTCCTGCACGTTTTGGCAAGACAGCAGCCGTATACTCTTTATATCCGTCCGTGAAAGAACTATGAAAGACATTTCAGAGCTGCCGGGACGTTGAATATTGATGGGTTTTTGAAAAGGAACATATTCCAGTGTAAAAGCACAACCAGTAGTCACCTGCCACAGTCTTCACAGGACGCTCTGAATATTGATATTTCGTGTCTTCGAGAGGAGCCCTAATCCCATGCTGATGCTTGACCTTGATGGTATGCCATCTGAACTACAGTGAAGTCATGATACCCAAAGGGACCCTCTAGGGAAACAAACCAAAACTGTTTATTGAACTGAACAGTACAGTGCGGATGTGTGAATATTTTCGTAAGGATGAAGAATTGCTGCGCATGGTTAAAATCTTGCTCGAAGTTCGCGATTTCCAACAGAGAGCTTACGTTTGTGAATGAGGTTCAAAGAGTTAATGCTCATCGCTATGCAGGGGCAGACTGGCATGACAGGGAGATCCAAACCTTGTACGCGTGCAGTAGTACCGATCGATAAGCTTGACCCCTCAGTGACATTCACAGCGGGGAAGAACCCTGTGACGGTCTTATTTTAGTGCTCTCGAGTTCTGGCACTCCTGAGGTGTTCGTGATTCTGTGACAAGAGAGCTGTGAAAGGTGTGGGTAAACATCACAGCGACAGAACTCAGGTGACGCACCCCTCGCGTTGCTTTCACTGGCACTCCATGCCTCATGTACATGCATACTGCGGGTAGCGTTTCTGATGAAATAGACTCCAAACTACAGTCTTCGAAAGGAAGCGACAGAGTAATCAATGCAAATATGCAGACATATTTGCACTCTACGAAGACAGAGGGGATGCGTCTCATTTCAGTTTCCTTTACTCGGCAAACAATGATTAGTCGCTTCCCGGAATCAATTCACCGTCAAGGAACACGTAGGGGCAAGCGCAAATCCCGAAAGCCATGTGCTCTGAAACCCTAGGTAAGTGAGTAATATTTACGATTTGGCGACCTCTTTGTTACCCATTCCGTGTACCATTGTTTCTCGATGCACAAGATGACACGCCTTCTCAACCGTGTCCAAGATATTTGTAACGTTGGAGGCCCATTTGTTCAAAATCGCGTCGGCGTCCTTTGGTTTTGCGAAGGATACAATCTTTGCAGGCCGGTCAATTTTGGCCCACAGCGCCTTCTTGTCAGAGACCATTGCGGCGAGCTTCCGCTCAGTTTGTTCCTGGGACAAATCTAGAAGCTCTGCAAGGCTCTGGAGTTTAATGCGAGAATAGTACGTTGACATGACTCGCAGATTGTGTTCCGTCACTCGCTCCTGAAGTGCTGCCTCCCACTTAAATTCTTCGTCCTTCATTTCTGCCTTCGAAAGAGCAGCCACTGCGCTCAGCTCCTGCATGTATTGCTCCATAAGAACAGGCCAGCGAATCAGTTCGGTCGTAGAAAACAGTTTAAGAAGCTCCTTGTAACGAGGGAGATCTTCCAGAATTTTCAACCCCTGAACGCGCAGCAAAGTATCCTTTTGCATATTGTCTAATGGAGACAAAATGACTAAGAACGCAGCAAGTCTCAGTTCTCTGATGGTGGAAGCCTGATCGGTCCCAGCCTTGCAAGTCTCAAATCTCTCCAAGTACGCCCGACATGTCTCCATAAAATCGCTGTTGTGGATGTGTATACGAATCATCAAAGCATAGTAGCGCATCTTGATGTCACTGAGGCCTTCACGATTGAGTTGGCGAGCCATGATCTTCTTTGCAATTATCGCCCCTCGAATAAAGTCGCTTTTCTCGAGACATAATCGAATCTGTTCAAGAATGAAGTCAAACTTTTCCCTCCTTTCCATCCCACTGAAAGTCTCCACCTGTGTCTCTTGCATGATAGTTGCAGCACCATCAATATCCCCATTCTTCTCCCGGATGTCCGCCAACGTCCTGGTCAGTCTTGCACGCTCAAGTTCTACAAAAATCTTGCCAGATGTTACATCGCGAAGAGTCTCCAACATCGATAGTTTTGTTTTCTCGTCGGGTGTCTCGTCCAGGTAGGACATCACCTCTTGAACAGTCTTTTGAATAGAGGCTTTCAACTGAGCTCTTCGCTTCGAGATAAGAATGGTATACTCTTGAATAGAACTCCATGCTTTCCTGCCGTGAAAGATGCGGATGATGTTGACGCATACAGCGGAAGTCTCTGGAGCAGCTGCTGCTCCTCGGTTGATTCGCTCAAGGGAAAGCAATTTCTCGATCGCTGCTTGTTCACCAGACTTGGGAATAAGATCCATGGCCTCAGCAATCTTAGTCTCCAGATCAGGATCGTTTTCGAATGGACCGAAACCTGACGTATACTTGCCCGTGGACACGTCAGGATCGACGTCCATCTTGTCCGTGTCCTTGTCTTTGCTTTTCTCATTTACCATAGTGAGAAAGTTTTATAGGCAGATCCGCGCAGTCTGTTGTGCCGTCCCCAGATGAGGCCCGTCTCTCAGTTGACGCCAAGTGTATAGCCCGCCCGCAGCGTTGCAGTGCTGCTCCTGATTGTGACGACGCGCGTAATGTTGCAGAAAATGTGGGACTGGAAGCGTCAAGGAATCCAGACGATTGCGCACAGTACGAAGTCGAAGGTGTGGCAGGTTGTATGTTATGATGTGGAAATCTATGAACATTCCAGCATTGCTTGAGGAGTGGGAGGATTCATTCAATATTTTGCTACCCAGATTTTTCTACAATGCAGCACCCTTGAGGGTAACGTTACTGTATGAAGAAAACTCTGGATTGCCAAAAAATCGTTTTCTACTGTACAGTTGTGGCAAATCGTGTACAGCTGCACACGTTTATAGACATAAATGAAAACACGGCAGTGCGAGGAGGTTGCGCTCTCCCTCCCTGTGAACCAAGAGATCCGGATGCCGGGGTCCCCCTGACCGCGGGGTGCCGCCGGCGCCGGTATATTTACCAACTCTATGTCCTATCGTACGCCTGTAAATAAGGCTATGCCTTATTTGAGTGTTGTGTGGAATCACACTCTCCAAGTCAAGTGCGGTGACGATAATATCTTTTCCTTCTTGTTGAACAAGCACAAGTCAAGAGAGGATACGTTGAAAAGTAGCCTCATATGAGGTCACCTGTCGTCTCTAGACACTAGAGCAACAAGCTGATTCCTTTTCCAATGCATGTATGTTGCTCAGATTGTGGAGGAGATGAAGAGATCCTCTATTTATCCATTTATGTGCTCAGTTGCTCTTAGGGTTTTCTGTGGACGTTTGTCTGTGTCTCTGGTGTCTACCTACGGTGCAGGGCTTTGAAATGTGAAGCGGCACTCCAGTGCAATACTTGGCCAATTCCATCGGCCTTTTTGATGTACGTTTGAAAGAATGCGCATGGTTGCGAGAACAACATGCGTAGCGCATAAATAACTGCCTGCGCTTCTCTTTTTGGCGGATGATTAAGCATTCACGGTGTTCTGGCACGAGCTCTTTTCACCCAATGAGGGGTTGCAATGACGGCCCTAATTGACACTCGTTTGATGCCGTGCGCTAAATGATACCAATGATACGCATCCCTTCGCTCCAGACGGCGGGATATGTCACAACGACATATGAGAACGGCGCATGTGCAGGGCAGCTTCGTGTCAATCCCTAGGATCACCAAACGCAGCATTACGTTCATCGCCACGCTGAGAAGAGCTGCCCTCTTCGGCGCTTAAGCGCACCACGATACAGCACCAAAACTTCTTCGAAACCGAAAACACTGGCCTACAAAATCCTTGTCCTCACTAGAAGACGCTTTTCAGGCTCGCCGACCTCTGCCAGACCTCTCGAATGAAATGTCCTCTTCTCGCACGTACTGCTATCCTTGCGCTTTCGTCCTTGGGCTTGTCCGTTCCCCTCAATTTTCTTCACCTCCCCTACTTCCGCAGCCTTCGCCGGGGAGACGCGTTCCCTGACCCTATTCTTAATTTCCACGACGCGGTCTTTCGCCGCGAAGGCCGCTTCTTTCGCCTTAACAGCCGCATCTCTTACTTGTGCGGCCTTCTGTCGTGCGTCTGCTGCCCGCCCTCTCATTCTCTCCGCCGACTCACTGGCAGTGGCACGCAAGTCATCCGCGCGTTTACGTGCAGAAGCAGCGGTATCTCGAATACGATCGGCAGACTCTCGTGCTTTTGTTCGGACGTCTTCTGCGCGTTGGCGTGCCCGCGCAGCGTGTTCGCGCATGGCGGCGGCTTGGTCCTGGGCTTGGGCGCGCACGTCCTCTGCGCGATGACGCGCTTGTTCGACTCGAGAAGAAACGGCCTTTTGAGCTGAGCGCGCACGCATGCGGGCGTCGGCAGCCATTTGTGCAGCTACAGGCCAAATATACGTGGTGAGAGGTTAGGCATCAGGATTTGAGGGTGGAAAGATACTGAGTAGGGGTGGTTATAGTTGCAAAGAGACGCGTACCGTTCTTTGCTCGGCCTTCCCAGCGCATAGCGATGACAAGGCCTGCGCGGAAGACGCGACGTATAAAATATCGGGGGAAAGAGTCGTACCCTTCGACAATTGAAGATGGCCGCCGTCTGGTTGTAAAGGAGTACCAGTGAGAGAGGAAGAAATGAATTAGAACAAGGTGCCGGACCAAGCATTGTTGAGGGTAAACGACCGTTCGATGATGCAGCATTCTTACATCTTGCGGCGAATAAGACGTTCTCCTTTGAGAATGATGCGGTAGCTATTTCTAAAGCCACAGACAGCGATCATAGTCGCGGCAGCGAGTTCGGAGACAACCTGGAATGAAAAGCAGCATAAAACAAAACACATGTCAGGCACTAGTTATTACCAAACACAGTCGTGGCCTCATATAACGCGCCGCGTACATACCATAGCGACGCAAATGTCAACGAAAAGATCGATTGCAATCCAAGTGCTGAGATGAGTGATCGTTTCCGGAGACCAACACCACAGAGTGTCTGCCGAGTGCAATGGTCAGGTTGGAAGTTGTCGGTGAGGCGGCGGGTCGTCGTTGATCCGAACAGCCGCGGATGGCTGTTGCGAAGGCAGATGGCTATCGATTGGCTTAGAACTCCGAGACGGCCCATTGATTCGATGAATTTCGGACCATTTTTCACCGCCAATAGTACAGTAACTGGAGATTCTCGTCATGACATGGCGCCCATACAAACCGCTGCCGGTGTCACAGGAATCGTCATCTCCGTCTCCAACTTCCTAGGCGAGCCTGGGCCATCTTGCTGAAAACAACTACATCTCCATCAGTCACTCAAAAGAGCGACGCCATGACGTCTCCAGCATTCGCCCCCCCAAACCTCGCCCATTGCCCACTCCAGCTCGACCGTCGCCCTCTCCCAAGCACCAGTCGCTGCCACCGCACGTCCCGCTGGTTTGCTGCGACATCGCGCCCCACAACCTCCAAGGCGCTAGTCGAAGAGTTCTGGTCCCTCTCAAATACTGGCTTCTTCTCGTCAACATCGCACCTCTTCTCTCCCTCTGCAGTCTACGTCGACACACTGTACCCCTCTCCATTCAAAGGGCTCCCGAAAATTTCGAAGCACCTTGTCAACATGGAGTCTGCCATACCGCCAGGGCTTGTCTTCGTCCTCGACGACTTGGCCCCTGCAGAGAACAGCGTTGGCGCGAGGTGGCATGTAGAGACAAAGAGTGGAAAGCAACTACCGCTGTCGCGGGGCGCATCCATGTACAGAGTGGAGCCGGCTGGTGACGGATTAGGTGGTATGTGGATTACTGAGGTATGGGATTTTGTAGAGACGCCTTTCAAGGTTGCTGGATTAATTCTCCCGCTCCTCAGAGCTGTTGGCTTTGTGCTCAGAGCCACGCGATCAGAGCGGAAGTAGTGCCGCGATAAAATCATTTAATTGTTTGTTTTTATTGATTTGTTTACACAAGGTTCATTATGATCTGGACTGTAAATTTTGATCCTTAAATTTCTTAACACGACCCTGATCCATACTCCCTTTCCCACCTCCCCATACCACGCACCTTTTCGAGCTGTCGTTCAACAGCAGCACTGCCGAACGTCCCGCTTGTTCGATCCAACATGCCGAAGCGCACTTTCATCCCAAATCTCGTCAAGTACTACCGGAAACACGGCTTCCTGAATCGCTTGAAGAACAGCCCCCACATTTTGCGAAAAGAGATCACGCGCAATATGAAGAAACACACTTTTCCCAGGCTTGGACCAAACTCCAGTTTCTGCAAGCGCCGCCCCCGCTCGTCTTGGTTTCCAACATGGCCATGAGATAAGCACTTCTGAGGATTTATCTCGTTGACTGAGGACCGATGAACTGTCGCTCATGAATGAATGAGCTGAGTATCCACATCGATGTCCAACTGCATGTTCCTTTTCGTTCTACACTCAAGATGATGACTCATATAACTTTGCGCAGGGCTTAGGCTGACGACCGACCTTTCCATGTATTTCGGCCGTTCTGTTTACGACAGCTGTGCGCTCGTGATGAAAGAAATTGAGAAGCAAGATGCACCAGGCCATCGCACAGCTATGCAAGAGACCCTCTCCAACGAATCTGCCCACTACTATGTGACTATTTTCATAATTTCATAAAATCGTAAACTGGCTCTGCTTATTTGTGTTGAACCGTTTGCTTCTGGGTATGATTCTGGGAATGGGTTTCAGCTCTTCGGAGTTGAACAGTTTGCTTCTGGGTTCTGTTCTCGAACCGGGTTTCAGTCGGTTGGATTTGAACCGTTTCGTTTTGAGGATTTTCTTTGAGACGTTTTACTGACTTTTTTTTTTCGAAGCTCTTCTCTTTCATAACCATCCTCTGAACAGCTTCCCGTCGTCTCTCTTTGAAGCATTTCCTGTCCATGATCGCTTTTGCGGTGTTTTCTATTGCTCGTTAGAGCATCTCTATCGAGAGTCTATTCTCTAATCTAATGACAAATTTTCAGCCGCAGAAAAAAAGAGATGCTCTACCGCCTGTTTCTAATCTATTCGAATAGATTTTCCAATAGGTTAGAGCTCGATCTGGGTCTATTCGACCCCCCATTAGACCCAAATCGTGCACTAATCCACAGGGGGGGACTCCCATTAGTGCCACACTTACTAATGCTACCCTCACATTAATGCCGGCCAGACCCACGAACACGAAAAGTGCCACGTGTCACACAGGTCCGGGTGTTGTGCTGCCGTCCGTCCATTGCGCGTGAAAACATGTGAAAGCGGCTTCTAAGCCCGATTCTATTCACAGACTTCAGCTTGTCCTCTTTATGGATCTGGTTCCGGAAATAAAAAAAGCAACGCGCAAGCGTCTGACATTAGCACAGAAGCTAGACATTGCAAATCTGCTCGACAAGGGACACTGTGCCGAAGCAATTGAGCGGCAGTTCGGCATCGCAGAGCGCACCGTGCGAAACATCAGAGCTACTGCTCCCACATTTCTCCTCGTTGTTAATGAGAAGCCAAAATCACTACAAGTAAAGACCCATCAGGCCGTGGGAGTTTTGGCGACTGAATGCCGAGTTTCAGACGCTCCATCGTATCTGAGGTCGGCAAAGCGCGCGTTTCTCACTGCAAAACAGGACAGAGACCCAACGCGGAGCAGGCAGACACTAATTACAGAGTGCAGTCGGTGACCACCCTGTTTTCATTCGACATTTTTGCCGATATGATAAAATTTTGGGCATGCTGAGCTGTGAACAACCCAGCTACAAAACGACCCCCGCAAGCCGGTGAGGCCGCTTTTTCGAGAGTGCTCCGTCAGCCCAACTTTCGGTTCGCGATCTTTGTCCTTTACCGAGAAGCGACATCCTCTCCACATAGCCACAGCCCTTCATAATTGAGTTCTAGGCTACTGCGCCCTCAAAACAAGAAAGGGGCTAAGTATGGTACATGCGGACAGCGTTTTGCCCGACCCTTTTGCAGGTGAAGTCAACTCTCCGCCCTGTTTTGCCTGTAGAACCCAAGACAATCGCAAGCCAAGCTTGGCAATTACGCTGGATGAAAACCAGATTCATGTAAGAGCGTCAGTCGACACTGGTGTAATCGAAAACCCCTTCGCTGCTCTTTCTTCTAATCTAAAAGCAACGGTGTACTTATGCACAGCCTGTCGCGACAGAAGCAGTGGTTGGCAAGTTATATGTAACCGCCGGCGGTACGGCAGCAACAATACAGCTAAAGCGCTCCGTCTCTGGAATCAAAGATGTTCGAAAAGTGAGCGACACAGAAATGAGAAGCTTTGCTTCGTCTGTAGTCACACTGATACGAAACAACACTTAAAGAGAGAATAGCAGGGGAGTAGAGCGCACCGAAAACGCAACCCAACTCGTGACTGGACATTGATGAACGTGTCTTCTGATACACAATCTGTGCGGACCTCTTTCGTAGAAGAAATGTGCCGATTATCTGGTGCTAGTACTGGGACCGTTGAAAAGCTCCTCTCCAACTCTTCTATTCGTTACCTATGTTATGTTCATCTCAATCACAGTAGAATATCACAAGAGAGTGCCAGACAGCTCCACAAGGCTAATACATGTGCTCGATGTGTTTTTATAGGTAACGGCTGTTCTTTTCAATACAGTACGCATGGAAAGGGTCGCCTTTGGAAAGCAGGGACAAGAGAAGTAGCGAACCTTCATGATGTAGAACAGCTCTCACAGTTTGACGAGAACGTTAGAACGCACTCTAATGGCCAAATAACAGCTTCAGAAGTGATTGGTATGTACAGCTGTCGAAGCTGCTTATATATTATAACGGAAGGAAAGAGTGGAAAAAAACCAATCTGACTGTCGCAGAGCTTTCATCTCCAATCGACAGATGGCTTGTCCGCTTCATTATGTTCAGTCTGGCATCTGACGCGGAGGCCGAACGAGCAGCGCTTCACAGTAGCTCCTGTTCATATGAGTTTACTTCTGTAGCGAGGCAGCTCCGAATGAGCTGCAAAACTTTCTCTTCTGACGCTGAGAAACCCCTGAGAATGCTGCCATTTTCGGAGGTTGTACGGGTAAGAAACCGGCTTGGAAGTCTGCACGATACATCTGCTGTCGCGGGAGACTCCGCCATTGATCGCAGAACTGTTGAGAAAAGAGTGGAGGGAGTTCTTACTGGTAATGGTGTAATACTGAAAAAGCTAAGTTCAAGACTGCGTGTGTACGTGAAAGCAAATGCGTTCGAGAGCATGCATGCAGCAATGGTAGCTTCCAGTGGGGAAGTAACCTCTACAGACTGGATTCGGCCGAGCTGCAAAGAAATAAGATCATCTCTGGATATTTTTGGTATACAGTTTGGGCAGAGGAAGGATATGTACTGGAATGGAACATGGTCCTTGTCAACAGAAGTGTCCGCAGTCCCCATGGCTCTCCGGACAGACACAGTGCTTATGATGACTTCTCAAAAGCGGATTAGCTCCTGGAAAGTTGCTGCAAATGCCTCCGGGAGGCGCTTAGTCGATTTGTTTCCAGTTTGTAATGATCTGGAAGTGCTTCCGCACCCATTAATTGAAGATGCGCTAAATGGAGAGTCGGAGTATTGCAGAACTGACTTGCTTTTATGTGTGCGTGTACTTAAGGTAATAGAGCAGATGGTTCTTTCAAGAAGTAATGGAGTTGCCGGACCTCTCACTGTCAGTACGTCAATCGCTGGGATATGTGCAGTAAGCCCGTCCTACGTCTGTGTCCTTAATGCCATGGGGATGTTTCTTTCTTACAACGTTACGGACAGATATAGAAAGAGTCTTATCGCAGAGAGGGAGAGGAAGGGTCCATGGCAGTACAGTCATGTAGACTCTTCTGCAATCCCCGCATTGCAGTTCGACAACTGGGATATTTAACCTTTACACTCTGTAAAGGCGGACCAGATAGCCATGCCGAAAGTTAACGGGTCCCTCATGCAGGCAGTTACCAAAAAAAGGAAGTTAGAGAAGGAGGATGGTGCTCCGCCGCAAAAAAGCGGCAGAATGTCGAGAAAGTTAGCTCCTGGCTACCAACAACGCTACTCGGAGATAGAGAGGCCTTTGGAAGTTCTTTCACGTCACCAGATAAGCAGGCTATTCTAGAGCAGTTTAACGACGTCGCACAGGGCATCACTGCGCTGTTTAGGAATGCGCTCGTCGGGGGAGTAGAGCAGCAACTATCGGAATATAACGCAAGTACAGCTAAGGATTTCGGATACAAGCTGTCCAGTCCGCCTGTTAATTTTAGAACACTTCTGTTGTCCTGCTTCAAACCTCACGGAGGCATAGAACTCACATCCACAGTTGAAATTGATCAACACGTCGTGTACGTCGAGATCAGCAGGGACAGTGCTTCCGATATTCTAACCGTTAGAAGGATCCTGAATTTAATTGCTGAGCAGCTGAAACCGGGAAGGCCAGACTGTCCTCGGTACGTCGTTTTGGCCGGCGATCAACCGTCCTACAAGATGTTCTGCGAGTTATGGTTGGAGTCATGGCGGAAAGGAAAAAAAGGTCGATGTGGTTCGGGTGCCAGTGAAGACACGGCAGGAAATAACGGATACATACCCTGACACGAATGGCTGGTGCCGTTCCCCGGATTCTTCCATACTGAGAAGCAAGCCATGTATTCCATTTGCAAGGAGTTACTAGACGGGCTCGGTCTCGAAGAGGCGGCGGCGTGTACAGGGTTATCGAAGGCGCAGATCGCGAACATTATTAGTCAATCACATGCTCGCAATAATCGCGCTTTACTATTCAACTTGGCATGCGCGATGATTATACATGTCACTGACATGCTAGTACTGGAGGACGATGAAGTCGCGCGCCGTGTTGCCGATCTGCACGCCAAAGCTTCGGAAAAAATGGTATCCACAGATACGGACATTGCGGACTCCGGAAAAGATAGACAAACGGCGCAAATGCGCAGATTTGCACCGTCATCGTCCAGCGGAAGGACAATACAGACGGGCGCACTGTTTGATGCCGCCTCTGGTCTGGTCACGGCTGAAGTTATTGATGTAGGCCGAATGCTTCGTCGAAAACTGCAGGAGCATTTTACGAAAGGCCCCAATGGCAAGCACTTTATTCACACAGTTCTGTTCTCCAGTCTACTACCGACCATGGGCTTTATTCTTTCGAGAACTGGACATACTGACCTCATGGAGGCCTTCTGGTTTAAACAAAATGCTATACTGCATTCAACGAACCACCTCAAATATCAAGAACTATCTCTGTTTTATGCATTCTTCAGAGGGATATTACCACGATTTGTAGCCCGGTATCTCTACAACGACAAACCAGGAAGAGCAGTACTTAAACTTTTAAGCTTTACTGGTCGAGAAAGGTGCGGGCTGGATAGAAGGGGGTGGGCTTTGGTATAACTACCTTCGTCCCGACCACTCGTAACGAGGGGGGTTAGAGGTAAGGGAGCGCGCGCCGCTGGGTAACCCACGCGAGCGCAAACCGTACGGAAGGACTCGAAAAGAGGGAAGACTCACGTGGCCGGTGACGCGCAGCCGGTCGGTGGTGTTAGATCCGGACGGCCGGTCACGGGTTAGAAGCCTGAGACTTAGAGGTAAAACCGGACGGAGTTAGCAAAAAGCCGTAAAGCGAAGGGAGGCGAGTCTGCCCCCGTTTACTGGAACGGGGCAGGTGCCCCCGGTCTTAACCCCTAAGTGGGACGCCA